AAATCACCACAAGGAGATTCACACCAAGATACATAGTAATTAAAATGGCAAAAAGTAGTGATAAAGTTTAAAAGCAGCAAGAGAAAAGATGACAATTACATACAAGGGTAATTGTACATACATACATAAGGCTATCAGTGGATTTTTCAGCAGAAACATTGCAGTGTGGGGCGCCTGGGTGGCTCAGTTGGTTAAGCGACTGCCTTCGGCTCAGGTCATGGTCCCAGAGTCCTGGGATCAAGTCCCACATCGGGCTCCCGGCTCAGCGGGGAGCCTGCTTCTCCCTCTGACCCTCTCCCGTCTCATGCTGTTTCTCTCTCTCTCTCTCTCTCTCTCAAATAAATAAATAAATAAATAAAATCTTTAAAAAAAAAAAACATTGCAGTGTGGCATGATAATATTCAAAATGCAGAAAGGGAAAAAATCTGCAGCCAAGAATACCTAGCAAGGCTATCATTCAGAATAGAAGGAGAGATAGAGTTTCTCAGACAAACAAAAACGAAAGCAGTTCATGACCACTAAACCAGCCCTTTAAGAAATATTAAAGGGAATCTTTGAGTGGAAAGGAAAGACCATAAGTAAGAGTATGAAAAGCATGAAACACAAAAGCGTATGCCTCTAGAATTTATGTGATATGTTCATAAATTTGCAAATCTAGATTGCTGATATACCAGACAGTTCACATTTGCTTACTACTTAATTTTCACTAGAAATTAAGGTTTCTAAGAGTTAAGAATGCTAATAAATATAATTAAGACTACTGAAAAGAATAAGGGAAACAACTCTGTATGCAAAGAAAGATGTGTGTTTTTGCTAAGAAAAAGCATGAGGAATGGAAATACATTTTTGTTAAGGAAAAGAAAGTAATTTTGTCCTAAAGTGAGGCTGGTTAGTTAAAGAGGGAAAACATAAGGCAATATCTAAATGTAAAAAAGAAAGTAGATTTGTCAGAAAAGAATCTTTGGAAAGAAGTTTTAATATGTGATCAAGCTGGCTTTCATCAAAGATAGCAGCAGCACAATCATAAAGATTATGACACATATGGATAAAGTCAATTCTGCTTTTGCAAAAATGGCCCCTCATTGCCATACTTTTGCCATCCTGATGTACTTGTAACAGCAACAGTTTCCTCCGAAATCAAAGAAATCAAGATGGGTAAACAATGGCTGTAAATGAAAGGAACAGTTAGTGGTATGGGAAACCCAAAACAGCTATTTGGTTTTTCCCCACTCCTTGACAAACCCTGTATTTTGTCTTTTGCTTTCCTTTACCTACCATAGTGCATTTAGGATGACTCATTATAAGTAAGACATTGGTGGGGAGACATCTGCAAAATTGCAAAAATAATCTGCCAATGCCTCATCTGTCAGGTCCATAATCCTGGAAAAACTATTCTTGTCCCCAGGGGCCTGAGATCCCCTCCCTCTGGACCCTCTGAACACCTGCAATTATTCATTCAGCTGCCACTCAGTATGGGTTGTTATTGTACATATGTTTTCTCTTAAAGCCTTCACATGTCACAAGGCTTCAAAGTAGCAAAGAAAAATATTATTAACAAGTGTGTTTCCCACTTGGGGTATACATTCCACGATCTGCAGTGATTAAGGCACCCACTTCATTGGATAAATCCTATGAGCCTTACAAACTTCTTGAAATTCCAGCATTATATAACCTTCTGCTGATGCTTTATTGTCTCATGCTAGTATGACCTGCTACCCTAAGTCTCTAATGTCTTATGCTCAAGTTTATCATCAACAGGTAAAGAAGCTTCCTGGATCCCAGTTCAAAGGGTGTGGTTGGTCAGTATAGAGCCTGGTAACTGGGTATTCTGCAACAATCATCAGAAAAAGACAGCCCTTGAGCCAGTTGTAAAGAGGGCCTTACGTACCAAGTGCTCCTGACCACTGACTGGCACTGCTGCAAAACTAGAAGGTATTGAGCCTTGGGTACATATCACACAACCAAAGAAGGTTCCACATGACACCTGATCTCATACAGATGCTGGAGATTTATAAATCAAATTAACAAGGAAGAGAAGTAGCTGACATCAAGGTAGATTGCTTTCACCCAAGATTATGGATCAAAACTTCGTACTTCAACTACACATGAAACCCTTTCTCCTTCTGTTCCTTTTAGATATTTTCTTGCAAGATTGCTTACAAATGCAATCTTAGTAAAACTGATTCATATACAATACTAATAATTTGGAGTATTCTTTTTCTTATGTAAATATATAATGTCAGTCATTTTCCTTTTTTAAGACTACATAGTTTCTCTTACCTGTATGGTATTACATCACATTTATGTAATGTGATTAACTTAGTTTTTAAGCTTTCACATATGTTTCATGTAACCCCATGAAATTCAAGATATTCTGTAAACAAAACAACCCCCCAAAATAAAAAATGTTAGGCATTATATAGAATGATTTTGAATAGACTTTCAAGAGATTTGTGGTCCCTGTGAGAACTAAAATGGAGTCAATTTACCTTAGGTTAAGAAGGTTGCTGTGTTTTTTGTTTGTTTTCAATTTATTTTTGAGAGAGAGCATGAACAGGAGCTGGGGGGAGAGGCAGAGGGAAAGGGAGAAGCAGACTCCCCGCTGAGCAGGGAGCCCCACGCTCCTTAGGATCATGACCTGAGCCAAAGGCATCATTCCCTTAACCAAAAGAGCCACCCAGGCATCCCTAGGTTAAGAAGTTCTACTCTAGGATGTTAGCAAATCTGATTTTCAAAGATTCCTTTTAAATACTCATCAAAATAAATTTTGTATCTTCATTGTTCTTGATTTTTAGAAAATTTATGGTGAATACTTAGAACCTTCACATAACAACAGTTTTGTTTCTTGAATCTTCACATAACAACAGTTTTGTTTCTTGAGGATTTGTTAAGTGCATGGCTGTTATTAAGTGCTCTAGGGCTGTGCCCAGATTAATGTGTACAATCCTTATAAAAACTGTAAGGCATTAATATGATCATTATCTACACTTTACAACAAAAGATTATAAAACGTAAAGATTAATAACTACTGACCTCCTTGAAATGTGGCTAGACTGAACAAGGAACTGAATTTTCAATTTTATTTTAATTTTCAATTCAAATACAAAAGCAATATAAAATGTTTTTCAGTTAAACACAATTTTATTCTTTTCACCATAACCACTGAAAATTTAGCAAACTGAGAAGTGCTATAACAGTAAAATATGTAGCAGATCTTGAAAACTTAGTATGAAATAGGAATGTAAAATATTTCAACTTGGGGCGCCTGGTGGCTCAGTTGGTTAAGCGGCTGCCTTCAGTTCAGGCCATGATCCTGGGGTCCTGGGATCGAGCCCCATGTCCAGCTCCCTGCTCAGCAGAGAGCCTGCTTCTCCCTCTCCCTCTGCCTGCCACTCTGCCTACTTGTGCTCTATCTGTCGAATAAATAAATAAAATCTTTAAAAATAAATAAATAAAATATTTCAACTTATTTATATTATTACATGTTGAAATATTTTAGATACATTGGTTAAAATAAAAAAATTAAAATAAAATTGTATTATCCAGCTTAATTTTGACTGTTCCTTTTAACTTTTTAAAATGTGTGCAAAAGAAATTTTTAAATTATGCAAGTGGCTAACTCTGGAAAACAGTATGGAGGTTCCTCAAAAAGTTGAAAATAGAGCTACCCTACAACTCAGCAATTGCACTACTGGGGGGTATTTACCCCAAAGATACAAATGTAGTGATCTGAAGGGGCATATGCACCCCAATGTTTATAGCAGCAATGTCCACAATAGCCAAACTGTGGAAAGAGCCAAGATGTCCATCGACAGATGAATGGATAAAGAAGATGTGCTGTATATATACAATGGAGTATTATGCAGCCATCAAAAAAAAAATGAAATCTTGCCATTTGCAACAATGTGGATGGAACTAGAGGGTATTATGCTAAGCAAAATAAGTCTATCAGAGAAAGATAAGTATCATGTGATCTCACTGATAGAGGACTTTGAGAAACAAGACAAAGGATCATAGGGGAAGGGAGGAAAAAATGAAACAAGACGAAACCAGAGAGGGAGACAAACCATAAGAGACTATTAATTTCAGGAAACAAACTGAGGGTTGCTGGAGTGGAGGGGGGTGGGAAGGATGGGGTGGCTGAGTGATGCACTATGGTGAGCACTGTGAATTGTCTAAGACTGATGAATCACAGACCTGTACCCCTGAAACAAATAATACATTGTATGTTAATAAAAAAATTTAAAAAAAAATAAAGGCCTCATTTTAAGGATAAAATAAATAAAAAATAAAAAAATAAATTACACAAGTGGCTTACATTGTATTTCCATCAGAAGGTGCTGCTTTAGATTCAATTACCATTATATCATGCTGCCTCTCACAGTCTGTACCACTATATGGTCTCAAAGAGAGTCATACTGCCAAATCTCAAGACTTAGTCACCATTCAAATCTCCTCATGGACTCTTCAGGAAAAACTCCCTGCCCTTGTTCACAAAGACCTCTCTTCACAAAACTCCAACCATATTCCTACTCCTAAAATGTCTTACTGACTGAAATCAATCAAACCATTTCCTACCTTGCTTTGTTTGAAAATCAAGTCTCTGAATAAAATCAAAGGTATGTGGTGTTTTATTCTACCTAACCACTAGTCTCTTCCTTGACAAAACACATTCTAAAATAAGTCCTTAGTTTATCCTTGAAGAGTTCAACTAGTTCTATTTCTGTACCATCCTTTGGAAAGAAAAGAGCACATGGGGAAACTGAATAATTACCAATAGCAATGTGAATATTAACTGGGAAGAAAAAGGGTATTTGGAAAGGCATTGGAAGAGATGGGGACCCATCCCTATGGTGCTGTTATTAATTGGGAAGGGGTAACCTGAGGACCAGGTAAATGGACAGCTCACAATTAGGTCTTACAATTTAGAACGACAGCAAATATTTAATGTTCTGTAAAACAAATTTACATGACAGAACAAAAAGTAAACATGAACTGACCTTGAATGGGCTTTTAAGTGGCAACTCTCTCCTCCACTTCAGGGGGCTTCTCTTGCAGAACTATAGGACCAAGAAGAAACTCTTGAGACTCTAGACAGGCTAAATAAGAACACACTGTCCACCATCAGACATAACCCATTACCCATCACAAATACATCCAGGTGGAAGTAAGAGGTAACTAGGATACTGCTGACTTTTACCAGTATCAGAGAAAAAGATCAGCATCACCTACAACCAGCGCTGGAATCTAAGTAAGTTCACAGCAGTTTCTAGGGGGCACACGTGTGGTTCTGAAACATGTAAATGCCCTCCAGAGTGTATCCAAAAGAGGTTCGCCAAAGAAGAAATCCTTTACCCTGTGACACTCCCCTCATGTATTCCCAGAAGTTAGTCCTGAAGTCAAGTGCAAGCCTAAATTCTCATCCCATGACTGAGGTGTACTTTCCTGCTTGGAACTTTCATTCTAGGCCTGACATCAATGACTTCCCCTCTGATGTCTATTTCTCTATAGCTAGATCAAACTGGCCCTAGAGTGTAAGAAAAGAGAATTCAGGGAAACGCGTTCCAAGGAACCATGGAACTTAGAGTGGACCCTGGGTGGGCAACACTCACTTCACCAATGTTCCCTCTGTGTTAAGCACCAGGCTGGGTACTGGGGAAAAGATGATATATATACTTATATGTAAAATGTAATATATATATAATATATATATATTTTACACGCTCTTATAAGCTCATTGAAAAAAAAACAAAAAAACTTCAAACTCCTACAGGTTTACTGGGGAAAACAAAAACCCACACCCACTTAGTTCAAACTTAACAGTCAGTACAACCGAGCTGTCAGAGGATTACTCGGTCACAGTATCAGATACCCACATCACCGTAGACAATGTACTGATAGTCCCACTAGCCCAATAGTATACCAGTCTGGGCACTCCAGGGCCCGTCACACACACTCACTCACACGCATGCACGCGCGTGCATTAACAACCCCACAATAAACTCGTCACAAAGCACCGGAAACCAACGTCGTCCGGGGTTCACGCAAACACTGGGACGAGACCCTTGGTTCCACCTGCCCCACCCCTAAGCCCCCGGAGCTTAGGGCCTCCACACCGCGAGCCCCTCCCGCAACCCCACCTGGGTCACCTCAACTCACCAGGCATGCCCCAATAAGCACGACGATACCGGAAGGGGAACCAAAAGTCGAAGTTCATTCGTCGCCCTGGGGCCTGTGGGAAACGTAGTCCAACACTGAAAATGTCCAGGTTTTCGAGCGCAGCGGGGAGGGCAGCGGTCGCAAAATCCCGCCACGCCCCGGAGACTTCCTGGGAGTTTCAGGGTGCGCGGGTCGCTCCTCCTGTGCGGAGGAGGGTTGCCGCTGGCGGTTCTTCAGACGCCGAAGAGCCGGGTGATGATTTTTTGGGAGCGAGGGTTCCTGAGTTGAACTAGAGCCCCAGCCAAGGAAGAAATTGGAAACCTGGGCGGGGGAAAGAAGGAAAAGGGAAGCGGAAGCCTACCGGAGGCGGGGCGAGAAGGAAGACAGAAGAAGCCTGCGTCGGGGAGGACCGGCTGAGAACCGGAATCCCCAAACCCGGAGCGTTGAGGAGGAAAGAGGGAATCAGGAACCTGGTCGAGGAGGACCAAGGAGGGAATCAGAAATCCGTGCTGAGGGCGGTCGGGCCAAGAAGGGCTGAAGCGGGTACCGCAGGTTGGGCGGAAATGGCTGAGGCGAGAACTGGGAGCCGGTGCCTGTCGAGGTTTCTCTTCACTCAGGCCTGTATGTGCGGGACCCCAGGTCCGTGGTCGTGAACCAGAGGGTGACGAGTTTTGTTGTCAGTTTTGCCCCTTGAGAAAGCCGCAGCACCTAGAATGGCATCTGGCACTGAGCAGATGCTCAGTATGTGTATGCCTGCCCTGGTGCGGGTTTTATACTATCACTGCCAGGAAGTTCTCTGGTATCCTTTTCCAGTCAGTCGCAGGACAGACAGCCATAGTTCTGAGATACGTCGCCGTAATTTAGTTTTGTCAGTTCTGCAATTACATATGTCTCCTTTTGCACATCCTAGTTTTGTAAGCTTTATTAATGTTGTGTAGCTCATTCTTTTTATTTATGGACAGCATTCAATTGTGTGAATATGCCACAATTTGTTTATTCATTTTTCTCTTGGTGAACATTTGTTGTATTTCCAGGTTTTATATGTTACGAATAAAGCTGACATGTTTCCATTTCTCCTGGGGAAATACCTAAAAGAAAAAAATGCTGGGTAATAGGTCAGTTTATATTTAACTTTCTAAGAAGTTGATAAACCTTGCAGAATGATTAGTTAGTGACTTGTGTTTGAGACTCAATGTGACTATTCAGTAAGTGGTTTCTAAGATCGATTTGGTATTCTTGTATGGAATTATGAGATGGGCTTAGTGGAGTTATGAATGTCATGTAAGGTCCATGGGTTTGTGGTTTTGTAAAATGGATGAGATATAGGAAACTGTGTCTGTACAAACTCTTATTTATCATGATTTTGTGTATTCCATGATGACTGTGAAATTAGATCACTATGTAAGTGGTATTAATGAATAACTGGGAAGCGCTGTGTCTTTAGGTATGTGTCATTTTGATTCTGCTTCCAGAATTATGACTGTTTCTAATCAAGTAAAATAGCAGTATAGAGATATCCAGAGGAAATGAGGATATCGAAGAAATATCTGCAGTCCCATACTCACTGTAGCATTCTTCACAACAGCCAAGACATGGAAGTAATCTAAGTGTCCACTGATGGATGAATGAATGAAGAAAATGTGTATATATATATGCAATGGAATATTATTCAGCCTTTAAAATGAAGTACATCATACCTTTTGTGACAACATGGATGGACCTTGAGGGCATATGCTAAGTGAAAGTCAGAGAAAGACAAATATTGTATGATCTCCCTTACATGTGAAATCTAAAAAACCAAATTAATTGAAATAGAGAGTAGAATGGTAACTGCCAAGGGGTTAGGAGGGTGGAAGAAATGTAGAGATATCGGTCAAAGAATACAAAAGATGAGTAATTTCTAGAGAACCTGATGTACAGTATGGTGACTATAATTAACAATACTGTGTATTATGTACTTGAAAGTTGTTAAGAGATTAGATCTTAAGCATTATCACCACAAAAACAAGAAAGGTAATTATATGAGAGGATGGAGGTGTTAACCAACCTTATGGTGGTAATAATCATTTCATAATATATACAGTTTAAAATCATCAAGTCCCGCATCGGGCTTCTTGCTCTGGGGGGAGCCTGCTTCTCCCTCTGCCTGCTGCTTCTCCTGCTTGTTCTCTCTGACAAATAAATGAAATCTTAAAAAAAAAATCTGTTTGTGACAAACTCTACATTTAAAAAAATAATAGGGCGCCTGGGTGGCTCAGTTGGTTAAGCGACTGCCTTCGGCTCAGGTCATGATCCTGGAGTCC